CCTCTCCTGCCCTCTCAACTCCACAAGGCTATGCTTCAAAGAGCACAGTCCAGGGGCCTAATGATCATCATGTTCTTGGGTTTGCCACAAGGCATTTGGCGGCCATGAGGAGGAGACCTGGTGGGCCAGGCAGGTGCCAAGAATCTGTGGAGGTCCAGGCTGGCTGGCCCACTGGTGGTGCAAGGGGAATGGCTGAGGGCCTGCCCACTGTGCACCAGGCCCTTGCCAGGTATAATCCCATTTATATCCCAACAAGTGTTGCAACGAGGCAGGGATGGCCATCCTCACTTTATAGATGAGAAACCTGAGGCTCATACTGGACGTGATCACCTGTCTGGTCAGCGGCAGATGTGTAATTCAAACTCAGGTCTGCCTGAGCCCCAAATGGTTCCTCTTTCGCCACCACCATGGTGTCCCCAAGGCAAACGCAGTTCAGAGTCAGTAGGCAGGTCCCCAGATGGTCAGTCTCCTTCTCCAAGAGGCCATCTTCCCACCAAGCTGTTTCCCCACAAGGTCCGCATTCGTCCTAGCAAACAGTGAGGTAGGACACTCTCCACCAGGAAGAGCTGGGTGGGCCACGTCCAGAGCTGCATCTTCCTCGTGCCTTTCTCCCTTCTGGAGTCCACACTATACTGGATTTCATGAACCAGTTTACAGAATGCCCTCACCATTTGCCCTGTAGGCTGGAGAAGGAAGGGAGAGCACAGCGGTGAAGCACAGATTAACTGGAGCCCCCAGGGAAGTGGCTGCCTTTGCCAGGCCAGCTGTGGGTCAGCACAGGACAAATGTGGCGGCACAGCTCGGGCAGCAGCCCCCACAGCAGTCTGAGCTCAGACCCACAGGGCAGCCCAGCTGGGCTTGCATCTGAGCACCACCACGCCACCTACCCTCTGTATTATCTTGGGCAGGATGGCAACTTGTCCATGCTTCAGTCTGCTCATCTGTGGTATGGGGAAGCAGAGCCAACCTCACTGCATCCCCATGGGAATGAAATGAGTTGATACTCAAACAATTTTGGAACAGTGTCTGGCACATGTGAAGGCTATGTAAGCGTTAGTTAGATCTTATATATACATATTTTAAAATACCCACATTTGGTTTCAGTTTTGAGTAACGCTATTAAAATCCTCCTAAAATGTTCATTTCCCTTTTTCTGCTCTGGAAGGTACAGCACAAAAAAGCACTTCACTCCAGAAGTGGAACGTGGCAAATAATGCTCTGATTAACTGATGCTTCTCTGCACAGTCCTGATTTTATAAACCACACCTTTGTAAAGATTTCAAAGCCCTTTCCATTTGCTCACTTGTCTTAAGATAGAAATGTAACAATGAAGTGGTACGGCTGGGATTTTAGAAAACACATCTGAACTCAGAAATTCGAAATGGTCATGTGGCAGACAGGGCTGAGTCCCCCTTGCTCAGAACACTGGAGGCACTGGGCAGGAAAAGCACTGGAAGCAGTGTCAGCCTCTGGCTCTGTGTCTCTCTCCCTCTCTAGAGCTCATTCAGAGTTGAGAAGGACCTTAATTATCCTCTAACAGAACTTTGTAGATGAAGTAACCAAGTTTGAACAATATGACAGAAACCAGTCTTTCCACCATTTAAGCCTACCACTAAGAATGGTACCAACTTTTTGGAGTGTCTGGATGGCTCAGTCGGTTAAGCGTCCGACTTTACCACATCAGCTCAGGTCGTGATCTTGCAGTTCATGAGTTTGAGCCCAGCACTGGGCTCTCTGCTGTCAGCACAGAGCCGGCTTTGGATCCTCTATCTCCCTCTCTCTCTTCCCCTCCCTAACTTGCGTGCGTGCTTGCACTCTTTCTTTCTCAAAAATAAACATTTTTTTAAATACCAACTTTTTTACCAGTTTTGGCTCCAAATGACTACCCTTTCCTTAAAAAATTAAATCTCTTTCTTTAAAAAATTTTATTTATTTATTTTGAGAGAGACAGACAGCATGAGTGGAGGCAGGGCAGCTAGAGAGGGAGAGAGAGAGAATCCCAAGCAGGTTCTGCGCTGCCAACAGAGTCCAATGCAGGACTCAAGCCCATGAAGCTGAGAGATCATGACCTAAGCCAAAACCAAGAGTCAGATGCTTAACCAACTGAGTCACCAAGGCGCCCTAAATCTCTTTCTAAAAGATAAATATCTACTCCCCACCCAGATTTTAAAGAAATAGGCAACAGGCTATGAATACATTTGCTTCTATTAACACAGAGTGTATGGCCAGTTTTATCCCCTGGTATCCTAGCCTACAAGAGAGGGAACACCCAGCTTAAGCTCATTTCACACATTAGAAAAGACTGGCAAAGAATTTCTCTGGCAGCAGGCAACACTGAAGCTTTGCTCTTATGTGAGGAAAGGCAAGTCTTTGTCTTATACAGGCATCAGGCAGTCCCTGGGACAGGGCTGGGAACTAGGGACAGCCATGTGCACACCACCCTCCATGAGGCCCTTTGGCATGAAGTTAAGCCCTTGCAAGTGGACCATCAGATCTGGGAGCCCTGGGACCAGCCCAGGCTAAACCAGGGTTCCTGGGTAAGCATCTCAGTAAGCAGGTGAGCCACGGGCAGGATCCAGAAAGCAGATGCCAGTGGGGCATCCTGGCAGCCCTGGAGCTACTCAGCATCTAGAAGATCTGGTGGTGACAGCAGGGCCCAGCTAGGGCCTAAGAATCCACTCAGGCCTTGTGTCTTAGAAGGACTCTAGAGAGCAGGGTTGGGCTGAGTCCTGGTTAACCTATGTTGGCAAGTAGGTTATGACAGCAGAGTGTGGGATGCAGGGAGGTGAGATAATGACCCTGCATCTGGTCTTAGAACAAGGCAGAGGTCCAGCTGTGCAGCTCACCACCAAGGTCAGCTCAGGACCAGGGTGTACCTCACTTGATACTGAGTCCTCTGTGCTCCTGAACTGGCCTTCTTGGATCTGCCACCATCATAGGTCTCCACTGGGTCTTTAACCCATTCTGATTGGTCTTATCTACATTATAGGAGGGTGGCAGGGCATGAGCAAAGTGGGAAGATGATGTCTGGGTCTTGGCTGAGCAAAATCTTCCCAGGCTGGAAGCCTCCCCAAGGAGAGGAAAAGCATTCCTATGTGATCTCCATCTCATCAAGGTACTAGAGCTTAGTTGCAGATAGATGCATACCCCAGATCAGGAATCCCCAATGGGCTAGTGGCAAAGAAAGCACATTGTATAGACTTTGCTGACTGTGATAAAGGCACAGTGAGCCTATACTTCATGCAGCCGACTCTCCCCTGAAGAACTCTAAAAACATTTCAGCTCTATCTCTGGAATCTTCTCCTGATTCCATTCCTGCCCCTTTCCATTTATCTCCATTTATCCACGCCCAATCTCAATGTCTAGGTCCAAATGTCTTAATTTTAACTAAGATTCATTCAAACTATTAAACTAATTAGCATTAAGATAGTAACATTTTATTCTTCCCAGTTTTATTTACACATTTTGAGAGGAATACAGAGAACAGGAATCATCTCAACCAAAGGAATGAATATTTCATGGTAAAATTTCAGCTATGTGATACCTGGACAGGGAGAGGTTTTAAGGCAGAGTAAAGCTGCCCCGCATCTATTCCTCTTTCATCATGGCACCCCCATTTCCTTTTGGGAAATCTTCTCTCCCTCATTATGCAAGCCAAGGGCTTATATCACATTAGGAATGCCAGATATGAGATATTCTCCTCTCTCACCAAAGTATGGCAGGAGGAAGGCACAAGGCCCTGGTACAGCTGGTTGGACAAGCTAGTGGTCGTTCATCACAGAGGCAGCAGCATGCTGACCCTTGAGATCATGCCTTCTGCCCCTTCAGATGTCCTTTGGTTCCTGCCGTACCTACCCCTGGTGCCCCCACCTTCCACTGATTCTGAGCCTTTCCCCCCAAAGACTTTTAAGTTAGCCAGTCTTTGCTGTTTACAAAGAACATGGATTCCCAAGTAACCTCCACAGCCACCTCTACACACAGTAAGGCCAGTGGTGGCTGGGAAAGACAGTTCGCTGGCCCACTGTCCCTCCACACACAGGCTGGAACCTGTACACCACACTAATCACCTCCATGGGCCAATGTTGCCAATGTTTCTACAACTGGAAACAGGAGCCATCTGGGGAGACCCAGAATTGGGAGACTGGAAAACAGTATCTCATTTCCTGATGAGATGGGATGGGATCATGTGCAGCCCTGACAGTGGGAGCACCCCCTCACGAGACAGTCTTCCTCCTCCGTCTTACCATGTGCACACACTCATACATGCATGTGAACACTCACAAGCCTGCACAGGGGTGCACGCATGCATACACTCAGCCAGGAGCCATCCTCCTAGCCTTCTCCAGGGAAAATCTCTCTGGAGAATACGGCAGGCCCAGGGTCCAGGTGGAGCCTGGGGAGTAAATGGAGAAAAAGAGAACGGATGGACCACAGTCACCTTTCTTCTCTGATAGGACCCAGAAGGCCAGATCCCTGCCTTCATAATCACATACCTTAAATAAACCAGGAGTCCCAGTGGGAAGATACCACCTCACTTCACATAAGACCAATGGGGCCACTTAATAGGACCACACAGGCAGCCTTAAAACAAAAACATACCCGAGATCAAGGTCAAGGTCAAGTTGTCTCTTGCCTCTTCAGGTCCCCACAGGTGCTTTCTTTCTCTTCAAGGCGGGGACCAATGGGCACTGGTACTGACAGGTAAAGGAAGGTAGGGGACGATGGGTGAAGAAGGACCCAGCAGGCTCAACATAGCTGGGATACAGAGATCCACCAAGTGTAAAACCATCTCCTAAAGGAGCTCCTTCACCCATATCAAAGACACATAACAGATGGAGACATGTGTGCACATGCATGTGTGCACACATGTATACACACACACACACACACACACACACACACACACCAAGGCCCACTAGGAGCCCAGGTAAGCAGCCAAGAGGAGGCACTGTGCCAAGGACAAAAATAGGGGAGAAGGCACACCGGAGCGAGGCAGAAGGCAAATTGCTTCCTAGTATGTTTATTGGAGCCTTGGCTAAGTATGAATACGGATCAGGAACCCCTTTCCACAGCCCAGTCAGCCCAACGGGGGCAGAGACACAGGGAGTCAATCTCCTTTGTTTCCCATTATAGACAACATTGTTAAAAAAAATAAACTTTACAATAATACATTTTCGCTCATTTGTTGGGGTATTACTTTGATAGTTTTGTTTCTTAAAAAAAGGAAAAAAGGAGAAACCACACAATATATGTATATGGATGTATATATACATATATGTTGAGAAAGGAGTTGTGTTATGTACATAGAGTTGGCGCTTGTCTGGGAAATGAGGAGAGAACGTGGAAAAGAGGAACAGGGGGCTGAGAGGAGGAGAGAGTGCGGCCAGCAGAGCACGGTGCTGGCAGGTGTCCCACCATGCCCCTCACACAGACCCCTCTCCCTGGTAGGAGACCCACCAAATGAACCCACAAGAAACCAAAAGAGCCAACGAAGGATCATTTCTCTTTGATTTCAAAATTCCTGCCACCAAGCAGGAAACAGCAGCCTTGAGCTGGTGCCCAAGTTTTGCTCCCTTTGCCCAAGGGGTGTCCCCAGAGGGCTGAGCTCCCAAGCGCCCTGGAGCTGGCCCTAGAAGCCCCTCTGTGCCACAGTCAGGGGGCCTGGTACCATGCCCTCCACAAGCATCACTGGGGGTTCCCAGGTCAGATGCAGACAGAGAGGGCAAAATAAACTCCATCCTCGAAGCCAAGTGGAGGTGGTGAGGTGCCCAGCTGGACCCCCAGCATCCAGCCTGGCTGCTCCGCTGCCCGACGCCCTCTGCCAAGCCGCCCATGGGGGTCCCTGGCCCCAGTTCACATCAGCACAGCCACAGTCCTTCGGGCCACAGGGGTGTCATCTTAGTCTCTTACGTCAGTGGGGTCCAGAGGGGAAAACACCAGGAGAAAGTGAAGGACATTTCTAGACTCTTGCACCCTCCTCAGTGCTGGGTTTCCCTTGCAGAGGGACCTCTGGGCCAGCTCTCAGGCTGCCCGCCTGCTTGTCTGTTTGGTTTAGAAAATCTTCTCCAGAGAAGAAACCTGGGAGGAGACAGGTTCAGAGACAAGGTGGGGAAAAATTTTTTTGCAAGGTGTGTGTGTGTGTGTGTGTGTGTGTGTGTGTGTGTGTGTGTGTGTTTCCACGTTGTCAGGCGGGTGTTCTCATCTGCGTAGTTTCCAGAAATCCCCCGACATGGGTCCCAGAGCCTACAAGGCCAGCTTCAGCATCAGGAAGGAGACAGCGGTCAAGGCAGCTGACGGTCTGGCTCTGCAGGGGCCTGAGTTAGGTTTGATCACCTTGTTACTCCCTGGGATGATATTGGTCGTGAGCTGCAGCCACGGCACAAGGGGAGACAGAAGCAAAGAGCACAACAAAAGACAGAAAACAAAGGAGTCAGCAGGGCTGGGATCAGGCAAAGGAAAGCACTCGAGAAGTGGAGTCCTTGAGCCCCTGCCCTCCCCATCCACCCAGGGTCCCTGCTGTGTGCTCGCTTGCAGGCAGAGCTGGGCTTCCACAGAGCTGAGCCGAGCTGAGCCCCAGGCTCTGCGGGCCAGGGCAGCAGTCCCCAGGGAAATGGGCTGACACTGCCAAGTGAGGAAGAGGGTCTGTGGACACAGATCAGAAAGAAAGGATGGTACTAAGGTCTCAAGAAGGAGCTCTCAGGGTCTACAAGCACCTGCTTCCTGAGAGGAGGAGGGAGAAGCTCTGTTCTTCCTGTTCCTAAATGTCTTTGAATCCCTCTGCTCCATGAAGCTTCTTCCCTGCACATCTCTGAGCACTCTCCTTCTCTAGAAGCTTATACTTCCTTTCTTTTCCTCTCTCTCTCTCTCTGTGTAAATACCTACACCCACACTATATATGTAATCACAGATACACTCCTGTGTTGGGGCTCCTTTTAGGAAGGGACTGTGTCTTTTTCCATTTCCCAATCTCAATATCACAGAACCAGCATGGAGTAGGTGTTCAGGACACTTGTCATAAGGAGTCAGGAGGGCTTAAGAGGGCCTCTATTCAGAGCATCTGTTTATGTTTCATCCAAGGAGACAGCCAAGGCCCCTGGCTGCCCAGCATGGTGAGCATATACCCAAGTATAGGTGGGCCAGAAACTCATGCAATGGGCTCTGGGGGCTCAGAGTCAAAGACTCACCTAGGAAACACCCTCTTCTGGCCCATTCCCCTGCACCCACCCACCCCACTCTGCCCTTCACTCACCTCTGTGAAGCACATGCTTAACTCTTTGGAGTTATTGGCCTTCAGCCCCTGTTCCTGTGGAAGAGAAGGTGCTAGTAAGGACAGGCCACCAGAGCTGGGTGTCTGGCCGAGCTTTGTCCCATGACTTATTAGGCCAAAGAGTCCGTGGCCCTGCCATCCACCACTGTCATCATTAAGCACAAGGTTCACATGAAAAGTGCTGGCTCAATCCCATGCAGCAAAAAGACCTGGTCCCTTTCTCACACCATCAGCACTTAGGTCCTGTCGCCCTGGCGCTCCTGGAGAAGGGATTCCTAACTCTGCTTTAAACTTAAAGCATGATGTAATAATAATAAGACATTTGCATATTTGTCTACTAAACTTAGAGCTCCTCTGACAGGGCAGGGAGCATGGCTCCTTTTCCTTGCATTGGGCAGTGTCTGGCTCATAACACCAGCTCAGTAAATGCTCAACTAGATGAATGAAAGGATGACTCAATGAATGAATGTCACAGATCAGAACCAGCAACCAAGTGCCAGCTCCAAAAAGCTTATAAGCCCTTATCTTGGCTTGTGGGAAAGAGAACTGTAATTGATTAGTGATGTCTGCCACTGGTGCATGTTAGGAAGGCATCAGGTAACAGTGCCAGGCATTGGCCATTCCACCCTACACAGATGTGTGGCACCTGGGAGCTTGGTGGCCCAAGATGATGAATGAGAAAGGAAGGCTGGCTTACTGATGATTCTAGGGTTCTCAGCTCCTGGCATAACCACTTGGATACAGGACCAGAGGGTAAGCAAAAGAAAGTGTCCTTTGTTATCATCATAATAATGATCCATGGGAACCAGCTGGGGGACATGGTGTTTCTACCCTGGCTTCAAATGGCTTGGTTCCCAAGGCACTTGTGGGGAAGCTCTGGCCACCATAAGCACCAGGAAGCCCAAGAAATCATTCCTAAATCACTGCTCTTGGACAGAAGTATCAATAATCCCTTAAATATCATAGGCAATCTACCACCCTGGGCATCTGGTCAGCTAAATAAGGCCCCAGCTGTCACACAGAGGCCAGCCAAAATCCAAGTCACTCCTAATCGTGGAGATACTACCATGGTGATGAGGAGCACAACAGAAATGGAACCAGGAACCTGACCCAGGAAGATCTTGTTCAAGGCCACAGTGCCCATGACTTCAGGTGCCAAGATGCAGGCCGGCCATGACACCCACCTTTGTTCCTAAAGAAGGGCCCTTTGGAACCCAAGGACAGGATTCTACTGCCACAGACCAAGTGCAGCTCCAGCCAGGGCTGTGGAAGACAGAGCCCACCCACCCCACCCCAGGGACTGTGCTGTCACCACTGCCCTCCATCCAACTGCCCTCATCTACACAATCCTCCCTCGATCACCCCCCTGAGCAACTCGCAGTACCTCTGATACCCTGTGCCACTTGCCCCAGCACCTGCTTTTCCTGGCATTCTTTCCAGCTACACTGGTTCCTTGCATTGCAGGTCTCTGTCTCCAGGCCCACGTCCTCTTCCTGTGGCCCCCTCCCCCAGTGCCACTAAAATGGAACCTGCATCAAATCAAACAGCCAGGATGAGTGTCCTCACCCCCAACCAAAGCAACTTGGATTTTGTTTGTTCTAGACGTTGGAGCTCTACACAAAAAGTGATTTTAAAAACAGCTTACTGCTTAAAAATAAGTAAGGTTTGAGAAAACAACTAAATGAGGGCCTGGCAGTACAACCTTCTGTGATGGGTCCTTGACACAGGCCTGGCATCTCTGGAAGGTGCACCCCAGGTCAAGCCATGCAGGGAGAAACCAGCAAAGCACAGGGGCACTAAGACAGAGGGTTCAAACAGCAGCAAGGAGGGGACATCTGCACGCAGATCTCACCTGGAGCAGCCGGCCTCTGGCTAGATTTTGCCCCTCGGAGTGAGCAGATTTGACAGGCTCCTCTTAGAACAGAGGGGGATGTTAGCAATTATTCAAGGAAAAAAGAGGGGAAGGAGGAGCAGGAGGAAAGGATCAAGAGAGGAAGGGAACAGAGAGAAAAAGGAGAGGCAGCACCTTAGGAGACAAAGAGTACATGCGAAGAGGTTGGAGGTGGTGGGGGGAGCATGGAGGATGGGGGGGGGCGGGGGGGAAGGGAGAAGGGAACAGAGAGGAAGGCAGAGCACAGAGGAGAAGGAGGGTAACAGGAGAGGAAGGAGCAGAGGAGGAGCCTACATCCTCTCATCTGACCCACATCAAGAGAAAGTGACACACACCCCTGGGCCAGCCCCAAGGCAACCCAATCCTTGCTTGCTCGCCTCTGACAGGTGCCACAGGGCCTGTAGTGGGAGAAAAGGACAGGCCTCCATGAAGACCAAGGACAGGACCTCCCCCTGTGCCCTGTGTGACCCACTGTGTATCCATCACCCACAGCATTCACCTAAGTCCTCTCAACCAATGACATGTCAGTCCAGCAGGCTCCAGGGACACCAGCCACACACTGAATGTGTGCTGAATGCCCAGGTGACACCCTGAGCTTCCTCTCGCCATCCCAAAGTACTTTCTTCAAGTGCTATGAAATAGAGCTTACAGATTTTTATCCTTACAGACCCTTGCAGTCTTTCTGTTTAAGACCAAAGGGTCCTAACCCTTGGTGTCCATCCTCAGAGGACAATTCCTGGATCCAAGGAAGGAAGAGCCTGAGAGACCAGAGCCCTGGGCTCGAGCCTTATTTATCCAGTGACCCGGGAAAGTCCCTTCATCTACTGGAACATCAGTCTTCTCATCTATAAAATAAGGATAGACAAACGCATCTCATTGACCCACTGTGACGATTACATGAGACAGTGCACATGGCACAGGAAAGCTCCGCACACCTATAAGGGTGTGCACCCCAATTCCACAAAGCATGATGCCGAGCCAAGCTTAGTTTGGCATTCTAAGGCAGGGCCTATGAGAAATGCAGGAGGGGCCCAGAAAGGGGCTGTGAGGTGAAACCCAGCGTCAGCCTTAGCCTGGGGCTACCTCAGCCCTACCCCACAGTGCAGGGAGCAGTCTCTACCCCAGGTGGACTCCAGCACCTGACTTCCAGCAGTGGGTGAAGGTTGAAGTAATCTCCCCGGTGGCAAACCTGAGACCCCCAACCCAGCCCCAGCCACACAGAGCAGTGCGGGGGTTTGCCCATCCGCTGACCTTTTCTGAAAGCAGCATACGGGAGAGGTGCAGAGAGAAGGTTCCACTACTTAATGGCAAAACCACCAGTGGCTCAGATTCACTGCCTCCCTCCCTCACCATTAACTTTCCTCCACTGCTCCCGCAAGGGGTTCTAAAGATGAATGAGTCACAGCTCTGCTCGCACCCTAATGAGAGAAATAAACATCCACACAGTCACCTCAGCACCAGTTAAGTAAATGGGAGCAGAAGACGCTGCCTTGCTCCCCAAATCCCACAGGCTGCAAGCTGCCCTCTGAGGCTGTGCCCCGCAAAGGCCACCACAATGCCCGTCTCACCCAATTTTCTTGGACCCCGATGGAACAAGTTTATGGGAACAGAGGTGAGTTTCCCACGTCTGTCCCGCCCCCATCACTACTCTGAGCCTCTCCTCCCCTCAAGGCAAGCTCAGGCACTGTTGGGCTACAGTGTCCCAAAGGGCACAGGTCTGGGCTGCAAGGATGGCAAGAGGCAGGGCTTTTAATAGCAAATTCTTCTGACATAAAGGTAGGCACAGGGGCTTTGTATCCTTGGCTGTATTACAGGGGGCCTCCAGAAGTATGAAAGAACCAGGTGGCACTGGGGGACCTGAATGAGGGAAGGGACACAGACACAGAGGAAGAATGGCAGCAAAGGCAAAGTTCGTCCTTCTAGAAATTTCTCTCGGAGGGGTTTTTGCCCAGGAAGTTGCCCACCTCTGTCCCCACTCCTAAAGCCAGACCTGGCAGTCCAGGTGCTAGGGATGAAGCCCAGTGTTGCATCCATGGAAAAACTGTGTCTGCTGCTTCGGTCCTCACCCTACCCCCAAATCTCAATGTCCTTGGCCGCCTCCCTCCTAACAGGCCCACCCAGTAACTCACTCCTCTTCCTCTCCACTACCTGCTACCCCTGGCCCAACGCTTCTATCTTGCCTACCTATGACTATTGATTATGGCAAAGATCAGACACGTCTGCAAGCGCATCTCCCTTGCCAATCAATCTCTACCTGCTGTCACAATCTTCCCAAATCACAGCATTCATCTTCTCATTGGCACGCTCTGCAATCCAAAGCCTTCCATGGCCCCTCCAAACCCCTGCTTCAGCCTGCTCATCAGACTGCATTCCCACCCCTCCTACCATGTGAGTACCTGGTATTCTCACCCATCCCTGGGCCTGTTCTTCCTCTAGACCAGGACAGGCAAACATTTTCTACAAAGGGCCGGGATAGTTAGTATTTTAGGCAACTCTGCCTGTAGCACATGAAAAATCTATAAACAATGGGGTGTGGCTGTGTTCCAATAAACCCTGATTTATCCAAACAGGCAGCAGGCCAGATACAGCCAGCAGACCCCCTACTAAACCTGTTCCTCACTATGCTGACTCCATGCCCTCACTCCCACTTGCCCCTCTGCCTGGACACCCTCAACCACTCCACCCCAATTCCATGTCTCCACATGCTCAGCAATCTCTGTTCTTCCAGGTCTAGCAGCAAGGTTTACTATGCCCGTGAGTCCTCTGCTTCCATTCCCAATCCAAAGCAGCCCTCCCTCCTCTGGACCCCGTGTCACTTTATCCACCATCCTGGGGTGCCAATCGCTTCCTGCCCCCCTCCGATTATCTGAGTGTGCATCCTGTCCATACTATGAGTGTGGGACCAAGGTACTGGCCTAGTGAACTGTCAGCCTCAGAACCTGGAACAGAGAACATGCAGGAAGAATCTACACTGAGTAAATGAATGAATGCACTGACGGACAAATAAATGAATGACTTTAAGGGGAGCCAGAGGAAGGGAAGAAAAGAAGGAATGCATTCAAGCCTTTCAAAGCTTTGAAACCTGCCATATTTTTATTATCAGAACTATATGCATGATAGACCTATGGCACCCTAACAGGCCTCTTGGTCCTCCACTCCGATGACCACAGGCCTGAATGCTGGGTAAGAGACCCAGCCAGCCAGCAGGCAAGAGGAGGAGGAGATGAAAGTGTCTGCAGGCTGCTGAGCCTACTGCAGGTACATTGAGGGGGTGCTGCATCAACTCCTCCAAATTCATTTCTAATTCCACCAGGTGTGATGGGGAGGATAAAGGGAGAGAGCAAAAACTGGCTGGTAGAGATCAAAAGAGCAAAGGAGACTGTGTTGCCAGGGCCCTGCAGCCCTGGGAAAGGTGAGACCCCAGTTGATTTGATGGGTCCCTACGAAGTGTTCAGAACAAACCACAGGGAATGCCAAGGACACTGGAACAAACCATGACCAGAGAAAGCAAGAGCCCGCTGCCAGACTCCCCGCCTTCCCCACCCTCACTGCACCGCCCTTGTCCAGGCTCTATCAGGTGATGAACAAACCTTCTAACCAATCTTCCTGATCCTCCAGAGAAAGACTTCACCTCCCTACCATCATGGCATGCAGATGGCATCTATGAGAAGGAGGGAAGCTGCACAGAGCTGCCTGCAAGCAATAAAGCACTCAAAACCTGTTCTAGAATGGAGAGCAGGAAGTTCCAACAAACCCAATGAACCGGGGACTCTGGGCTCTTCCCTCAACCTGTCTGGAGCACCTACTCAATGCCACGCACTGAGCAGGGTCTGCAAGGCAACAAGGAGGCTGAGAGGCAGCCTCTGTCCAGCAGGGACGCTCACCTGGTAGAGGGAGCAGGGTACATCGTGATGGGGGCTCAAGTAAGCCAAAGCAGGAGCAGAGTCGGGGGGAGGACCCCAAAGGGGGAAGGCAAATAGGACTTGCCAAGCAGAGAGAGGAAGCACAGGCTCTTCACTCAGAGGGACTGACAAGTGCACAGGCCAGCAACCCACTCACTGCGGCCCTCAGGCCTACACCATGGGACAGCCTGGCTGGGCGATAAGAGACCAGGCCTGACCAGCCACGTACATGTCAGGGAGGGAATTCACACAAGGGTGTTTGTACCTACACGTATATAGGCAAGGCCAGAAGGGAAGAGGAGAGACCATTTTGCAGATCCTGCCATGCTTTCTCCAAGTTCCAGATGGTTCCAGGAAGGCAAGGCTGCCGGGAGCAATGACCACAGCCAGAAATGGAAACACACAAGAGCAGGACTCAAAATAGCATCAAGGATGCCCAGACGCAGGGCCAACTCAGGGACCTGCTGGCTCCTGGCTCCTCTGTGGTGGCTGAGACACCCAGGTCTTTGTGCAGCAGCCCCAGATGAGGACAAGCACTCCAGATGCAGACCCTGCCCCCCACCGTGAGAAAGCCCTCTGGGGTAGCAGATCTAGGGGAGGACCCAGTGCAGCGCAGCCAGAGGAGACGGTTCGGGAGCTGGGGGCTGGGGTCCCTGGACAAATTACCATCTCCACCAAGCTTCCATACTCTGGGGCTTGAGAAGGAGATCTCAGAAGGCCCTCTTGTCCTAATGTCCAGTCACTTATGTGGGGTCCCCAACTCGCTGCCATCTCCGGGTCAGTAAACGGGGTCCCTAAGGCTTTCCCAAGGGTCTGGGCCTATGGACAGGGAAGAGGACAGAGATAATAAGTAAAATGGCATTGCCTCTTTCTCCAGGAGGTGTATAAGGTGCCCATCCTCCTCCACCCTCCCTCCCACCCTGGCCTCAGCTTCCTGTCTCTGCCCTCACTCCCCTGAGAGGAGTAAGGACTCCTTTCTGTAGCTCTGGGTTGCTGTCGCTCCCAAGGCCCCCACAAAGGCCACCATGGAGCCCTTCCAAGCCAGCAGAGCTGAGGGAGAGGGTATGGGGACAAACCACCCCCGCCAGCCTCCAGCCAGGCTGAGAGCAGGGACGAGGGTTTATTCCCTCTGCACTCCCAGCATCCGGCACAGAGCAGCAGGTGCTCACCAAACAGGTTGTGATTAAAACGGAATCTGGCCCCTCCCCTTCCCTTTCAGTGGGAAGGAACCAGGAGGAGGTTGCCAGGCCCCTTCGGAGGGTCCACATCTCTTCCTTTTCTCCTGGGATGGCCACTCTCAGCTGTCCTGCCCAGAGTGACTTAGTCAAGAGACTGTGAGTAGGCGGTCCCTGATAGCCCCCTGCCAGTCAGCTTCCCAGCTCAGCCCCCTGCATTCGAAGCGCTCCTCTGTCTGTAGACACTTTCATGTATATCATCTCAGATACTGATGGTGTATTATCTCCACTGGATCAAACCAAGTGTAAGACAAGCCCCAAGATGGTGAATCAAGAAAACCAGGCTGGGGTGAAAAGAAACCAGGCCACGGTTTAGCAAACTGCTGAAGAAAAAGAGGAAAAAATTTTTAAAAAGGAGTCAGAGCCACCAAGCACTAAACAGCTGAGTGGGGCTGCAGTGAGGGCAAGACGCCACACCCTTGAACTCTTCCACACCCACGGTGAGTCGGGTCACAGTAAGAGTCTTGGGAAAGAGCCGCAGCCACTTGCTGAGTCAGCACTTCCCTGGGTAAGCCAGCCCCGAAGGGCCCAGGGAGGCTGGTGGCGCCCCAAGGGACACGTGGGCCATGCCAGAGCACGGTCACCTGACAGGTGGCCAGCCCCTGACTGGCAAGCTGCCCGCCACTCTAGCATGAAATTGAGCTGGCAACTGTGTGTGCAGCGGGCCCCCGAGCCCCTGCCCGCAGCCACTCAAGCCTGGCAAGTGTAATTAGGAGCTGCCCGAGGGTGGCACGGACTCCTCAGCCCAGATGTGGAGGAGCGACCTGATGGAGGGGCCCAGGGCGTGGAAGGCCATGCCGAGCCTAACATGAGGTCCCTGGAGGCCAGATGTTTCAGCAGAGAGAAGCCCACCATGGGGATGGGGGGAGGGGGGTGGGCTTCCCAACCAGGACGGGCATTCACCCTGGCTCCTGTGGTAGGACGGGTCCCTGCTCAAGTCCTGTTCTGGCACTGGGAATGCTCATTAGGTTTTCTGCAGCTTTCCTGAGGTTGTAATTGACCATCAAAAATTGCATGTATTCACAGTGTACAACCTGATGACCCAATATATGGGCACATGTACTGTGAAATATTTACCACATGCCACTCAATATATCCCTCACTTCACACCTTGAACACTGTCCTTTTATTTTTCTTTTTTGTGGAGAGAACACCTAGGGTTTACTCTCTCAGCTTATTTCAACATAACACGATACTGTCAGCTACAGTCACCTTGCTGTATGCTAGGTCTCAGAACTGCCTCATTGCACACGAGGGAAACTTTGTAGCAGATGTGCACTGTCCACGAGCATGGCACCCCATTCAGCCTGGTGTCTGCACTGCCTGGCACACAGCCAGGCCTTGATCGCCCTGCCCCCTCACCCACGCTTAGGCTGTGCCCCCCTGCCACCCCCAACCTTCTTGCCAATTCTAGGCCCACCTCCCGCACTGTACCCCACCACCACCCTCAACCTTGGTGTTCCCTCCTTCCTCTTCAGCGATACTCTGCATGGGGTCGGTCCTTTTACACTCTTTGTTCTAGAGGCGTGTGTGTGTGAGTGTGAGAAAGTGTGTGTGTATGTATGTGGTTGTGAGTGTATGAGTGAGTGTATTATGTGAGAGTATGTGAGTGTGAGAGTGTGTATATGTATGTGTGTGAGTGGGTATGTTGTGTGTGTGTATATGTATATGTGTGTATGTGACTGTAAGAGTGAGTGCGTTGTGTGTGGGTATATGTATGTGTACTGTGTGTATACGTGTGTGGGTGTATGTATGTGTGTGTGTGTTGTGTATGAGTGTGTGTGTGTATGTATGTGGGTGTGAGTGTATAAGTGAGTGTATTATGTGAGAGTATGTGAGAGAGTGCGTATATGTATGTGTGTGAGTGGGTATGTTGTGTGAGTGTGTGTATATGTATATGTGTGTATGTGAGTGTAAGAGTGAGTGCGTTGTGTTTGTGTGTGTTGTGTGTGGGTATATGTATGTGTACTGTGTGTATACGTGTGTGGGTGTATGTGTGTGTGTGTGTGTGTTGTGTATGAGTGTGTGTGTGTGTGTGTATGTGTGTGTGTTCTGACTAGATCCAACTGCCTAAGCAAAGAATCTACTATAGCAAATGTCATGACAGCAGGAAGGCAGCCCAGTGGAGAAAGGCCGAGTGGGGAGCCCTAGGATGTACCACCACAGTGCCACATGTGTCCCCTATCGTGACAGTGAGCCCAGTCCATGGCAGTCCATGCCTGATGCTTGTTGAATTGTCTGACCCTGGACAAGACCATAAGGACCACAAAACCCAGGACTGTGTTAGTTTTATTCACCAAGGTCTCCCTCACATCTCCCGTAAGTCCTGGCACACAACGCGTACATAACACATGCTCGATGAATAGATGGACAGACAGATGGACAAACAAATGAACATTATGGGTTTTGGGGTCTGATATAGATTTCAAACCTTATTCCACCACTAACCAGCTGTGTGACCTTGAGTATGCTGCCTACCCTTCCTGGGTCAGTTTCCTGTGTGTAAAACATGAACACCAAAACCTCACTGTGAGAAAATTCAATGAAGCAGGCAGAGAATCTGCTAGCATAACCCCTGGTAATTAGCAGATGGTTAGTATGTGGTAACTGTTCCATTTCCTGGGCACCCCATGCTATCTAGCACAATCCTGTGCTTCCTACTTGTCAGGTGAACTCCTATGCAATGTATGCACAAAAAACTAGCCCCCAACAGCTCTTCCTTGCCTCTTGCGTCCTGACCCAAGGGCAGGAACTTGCGCATCCTGTCCCTCGCCCCTGGTGAGCTAATTTCCCACGCCCACCTCTGGTATCCTGGTGCTTCTCTATGCCCTCAGCCTGCCCTCCCAGGTGCAGAGCCACATCCCCTCACCTGGACAGATGTGCAGGTGGTGATGACGCTGGTCCCCAGGCTGGTGCTATCACTGAGGTCATCTGGCAAAGAAGGCGTTTTCTCCACCCGAGGGGCCTGTGTGGCCTGGAATGAGGGGCTTTTAGGGGAGAGGTTCACATCTGTGCCGTTGCCAAAGGCCTGGATAGCATTCCCTGTGGGGGGTGAGAGCAGGTAGGCACAGAGAAATCAGGGGCTGCCTCCATCATTTCTTCCTTCACATCCCAACGCTGCCTTCCCTGTAACAGCTCAGAGCCAGGGACAGGGTATGGCTTGTCCAAACTTAATTTCTCTGGAGTCCCCTTTTAGACAGTACTGACATCTCACATGTAGAGAAGAAAATAGCAAGAGGGAAGTTGCAAAAGACAAAGAAACAACAGAAAGAAATGTGGAGCCCAACTGTCCATCGACTGATGAATGGATAAAGTTGTGGTGTAAATAAATATAAATATATTATATATATGGTGGAATATTATTCAGCCATAAAGAAGAATGGACTCTTGCCATTTGCAGTGATGTGGATGGAGCTAGACAGTATTATGCTAAGTGACATAAGTCAGAGAAAGACAAATACCGTATGATTTCGCTCATGTGGAATTTAAAAAACAAAACAGATGAGCATAGGGGTAAAAAAGAAAAGAGAAAGGCAAACCATAAAAGAGATTCTTAAGATAGAGAACAAACCAAGGGTTGATAGAAGGAGGTGGGTGGGGGATGGGCTAAACGGGTGATGGGTATTAAGGAGGGCACCTGCTGGGATGAGCACTGGGTGTTCTTTGTAAGTGATGAATCACTCAATTCTACTCCTGAAACCAAAATTACATTATATGTTAACTAACCAGAATTTGAAACATAATTTAAAAAAATGTGGAAGAGGAAGGGAGGAGGAGAAGTGGGTGTGGGGAACCTGGGAGGAGGCAGCAGGCCAGGTGCCAGGCAGTGAGCACTGGCTTCTCTGTAGCATCCGGTGCGGCAGCCCAGCCCCTACCTCAAAGCTTCCCCCTCACCAACACCCCACCCCCACCTCCATCCCCCACCCCTGCCCCTCCCTCTGACCCCCACACAGGTTCTGCTGGCTCCTCTGTCACCTCAGATATTTCCAGGCCCTGCCACTGGCATTCTAAGAGCTCCAGACTCAGCCCACCTCCAGGGTGGCCTCACCCACTCCCACACCATCAACACCAGTGCACTGAAGACTAAATAATGGGAATAGGGCTTCTTGGACCAAACTGTCCCCAAGATGTGACCCTGGAGCCAAGTGCCTCCAGAAATCTCCACCTCCAGGTCCCAGATGCACCTCAAGTTTGTCACATCTATGCCCCAACAAGGCACCGCTCCCTCCTGTTGCATCACTGCTTTCTGCTCATGTTTCCGGTCTTGCAGGGGTCATCCCTCCCCACCCAAGCCCCCCACCATGCTTCTCTGACCACCCACTTGCCAGCAGTTGAGCCCACCACCTAAAAATCTGTGCACTCCATCTCTCCTGTCCCTTGCCCACCACTGCTCCGGCTCAGTCACACTGGCCTCTCTGGGAGCAACTGCTCCCTGCTCTGAGCAGGCCTGCTGGGTCACCTGTCAGAAGCACAGCCCCAACCCTGCACACTGGAACCAGAGAGTGGGCCTTCTGCAGTGCAGGTCTGCCCACAATGCCACCTGCTGACTCCCCTTCAGTGACCTGCACCCCCACCTCCACCACCTGCAGGCCCATAAGACCCTAACACTTTTAAGACTGCAAGGCCCTTCGTGAGGAGGATTCTCTCTCCCTGTCCAGATAACCCCAGGTGTTCTCATACTCTACAGCAAGACTGCGTAGCCCACGTTTCCTGCAAACAGTCCCTGCCCAGGGTAGACTGGCGTGCCCTCCCTGCCTCGTCAGCTGACAGGTGCCCACTCTCCTTCAAGGGGCCAGCTTCTGAGAAGCTTCCAGGGCCTCCTCCTCCAGGCTGACTGGTGGCACCAGTCTGGGCTCCTGGAGTGCCCTGTACTGACCTCCACCCTAGAGTGACCCCCTGACAGTGTGCCTCCATCAGACACCACGCTGCTCAATGGCAGGCACCATGGCTCATCTCTCTGAATCCTCAGTGCCATACAGAAAGGAAGGATGGACTGACGGAAGGAAGGAAGAAAGGACAGAAGGAAGGTAGGAGGAGATTTTCAAGTGGGTTGGAAGCAAGAGTGTCAGACTGAAAAGAGCGAGGCAGGCAGAACTGGTGGCTAACCTCTCTCTCTCTAGCCTTTAATTAGCAATTTTGAGACTTGCAGTCACCAATTCTAAGGGGAAACAGATCCTTAAAGGGACAAGTGATAGATGCTGAGATCCTCATCACAGGGCTGTCCCTGAAGGAACCTGACTGAAGCCCTCAGGATAACAGACCAGAAACTTTCGACCTTGGCCTGACATAGGTTCAAGGCCTCCAGTGGTAAATTCGGGCTGGCCTACTGACCACTCAGTAGGATGAGTCTCCAAGAGCACAAAGCCCAAGTTCTCTGTGGGTCGCTGGGGAAGCCCCCATAGACTATCACTGGCCATCCCAATGGAGAAAGAAGGGCATGGCAAAGGCAGGCCTCCAGGGCCCCTCTGGGACTGGGAGGCCTGGGGAGGACCTGCTCGGACTTACGGAGGCATGGGTTCTCGGTGAAGTCCCTCAGGAACTTCTCACACTCCTCCTCCATGTTCCCACTCCCACGACAACTGCACCAGGGGGACACCACGATGCCAGTGGGGTTGGAGTCCACGTAGTTGGGTGTCATATCAAACCCTGGGCAGGGAGAAAGGGAAAGCAAAGGAGACAGGAATGGTAAGGCCTTCTCTTTGGGCCCCAGGCCCCAGACACAACAGAGAAGAGGCTGGGGAACCGTCCGTCCCTCCCACCTGCCCCCTCAAACACACAAACATTCAAACAGATGGACCGTTATTATCCCAGCAACCATGTGGCCATGGCCACAGGGGGCAGAGGGGAATGAACACTGAGGACAGAGCAAGACAGCAGAGGAAGTATCCAGGAGCCACCACCCTGCCCCCTGCTTCCCTGGGCCTTTGCCTTCTTCACCAGCAAGCAGAACATGTGCTCTAGATCCAGGGAGACTAAGGTTCACATCCTGGGTTTACATCCCAGCACCAGCATTTACTAGCTAGGGGAACCTGTGCAAGTGACTCAACCTCTCTAAGCCTCAGTTTCCCCATCTCTAGAATGGAGATACCAACTCCTCCCTAGTAAGCACTGTTGTGAGAATTAAAAGAGTTGGTGTAAACTGTTCAGCTTGGTACCTAGAAAGTCAAAACCATGCAATAAATGTTGCTTTCTCATTTTGAAAGCTTTATAAGGGCCCGGGGCCCTCCTCCCCCCATGATAAAAGGCTGGCTTCTCCTCTGATTTCCCACCACAAAGAAGAGCAAGCTCAGGCTGTCCACCCTCTGGCCCTGAGCCAGGACCCCTGCCCACAGGGATCGGGCAGCCAGGAGCCACCATGAGCCCAGGTGTGCGGGGGCAGCTTACCAATCATGCCGGCGTAGGAGCCCAGACACGCCTGGTAATTGTCGGCAGGGCAGCTGGTGAGCGTCTGGTAGGAGGCACGACAATTGGCATGGAAGTCTGCCAGCCGGGACCTGGTGTCAGGAGAAGACCCAACAGAGACAACGGTTTAGATTGGCTGCCTTCCCGCCTTTTCTGCGGCAGAGCAGCTCCTGCCTGCAGGTTCCCAGGGCAGGGGGAAGCTAGGAAGATGGAGACAAACATGGGGGGAACCAGGCCTTGAGGGGGGCATCAGGCTGATTGTTCCTTGAGGGCAGCACTTCCTGGAGAGCCAGGTACACGGTTTAGGCATGGTGGGCTCTGAATGGATCTTCCAGTGAGAGGACCACCGAGAGAACCCTGGGTGGGTTTGCCACGAGTGCCTGTGAGCAGGGAAGGAAAGCTGGGCTCTGCTTTCTGCTTGGCCACACTCCTGGATGATCTAGCCAAGGCCTTCAACATATCATTCTTCCTATCTGCAAAATGCATACAATCATCCCTGCCCCAGCTACCTCCCAGGATCCAGTTGAGGCTCAAAGGAGCCAGCCCTCAGGCAGGTAAAGAACGAGTTCCTCTAGGCTTTCCTGACAGGCCTCTTCTAAACCAAGTCAGAGCAAAGCTTCACATACAGTCCTTCCAACTGGCCCCCTGTCCCACAAGGGCAGAGTCAGCCCTTTCTTCCCTGGGTGATATAACCTGCCATCACCCCTTCCTCTCTGTTGGCACCCATGATACTGCTTCATAACTATGTGAGTATATCCTTCCTTGATCATGAGCCACCTAAAGGCAAACAGATGCTCTCTGGCCAGGGTCTGTCTCCAGCGCCTGATGTGGAAAGTCGCATGGAGCCCAGGGCACCCAAGTCTAACCTGCCCTGGCACCCTGGCTACTGTCAGCTTGGCCATCTCACCTCCCCACCTGCCATCACTTCCTACAGGTGAGTGCCCTTTGCCATGGGGTCCTCATGTGTCGTACCATTTGTGTCTCACAGCAGCCCCAAGCAGCGAGGAATACGATCTCATTCACCAGTATTTTCCCAATGATGGGCACACAGTAGGGCCTCAACAAATACACGCTCAGCGAGGAGACTGTGGTAGCAACAGGACAGGCCAGAACGCAGCCCTTGACTCCCTGCCCCCACTCTCTCCACGCCATAAGGCACCTCACAAAGTCACCCAAAGGCTGCCCCAAGTTCAGCTTCCCTGGTCCTCCACTGGAACTCTGTCCTGTCTGAGAAAGGAGTAGGCAGAGAGAGATCAGAGGCTCAGAGAGACCAGGACAGCCTGACAGGAACACCCTCGCAGCAGGTGGCTCTGTGTATTTCACCATGGGACACATTCTGGTTTGTCCTGGGAGATGGGGTTTGGGGGAGAGGATGCTCTGCAGAGGAATTCAACCCCAATGATGCCTCATGTGTCCCCAGACCCTGCAGCCCACAGAGGTGTGGGAGACAGAAGGTGATGAGCACTGAATGGACAGATGACCAGGGTTCTCACTTCAGCTGTGCCCCTAATTCACTGGGTGGCTCACCAAGTCCTTCCTTCTTAGGGACTTGGTTTTCCTGATTTATCAAATGTAATGGAAAGTGCTCTCAGTGAAGGACATTTTCACAAGTCTAGGAAGATGAAAAAGTTCTGGAGGTGGAGGCAGTTATGGTTACACAACACAGTGGATGTACTTCATGTCACTGAAAACTACACTCAAAAATGGTTAAAAATGGTGAATTTTATGTAATGTATAACTTACCACAATAAAAATGATTTCAGAAAAGATACTTCCACATCCATCCATTTATCCTTCAATCCTCACAAACACTGAGCCCTGAACTCTGTGAGATCTGACCAGCAATCGTTGTCACTATCCCACTTCACAGAGGACGCTGAGACTCAGAGAAGCTAAATAAGTTGCCCAAGATCACAAAGTCCTTGAGCAGTGGAGCCAGGGCCCCGCCCCAGAACGAACACGGTGGACGCCCTCTCTGGCAGGTCTCACTGCTCCCATGCAAAAGCTCCTGGAGGTGCTTCCAGAGCCAACATTCTGCGTCCCTGAAAACAGGAAGCCTTCAGGTGTCTTCCCCCTCCTTCCTGCCCAGAAAGACACCGCCTATCTCCTCATCACCAAGCACCGAAACAGGGAGAAACAGCATTTCTAACCAAGACTTCAGCCCCTGCAGAGTAAGACTCCATCTTGACCGGCAAGAGCAGCGTCTGTCCCACTGTGCACCCCGCATGTGCATGAAGACACTGACAGGGTGAGTACGGTGGCCTCTGCCTACACCCCAGCCTCCCAGAGACACAGACTTTAATATGTAGTGGAGACCTAGAGGCAAGTAAAACAAAAGCTCTAGGCACCTCCTGTGCGCTGAATCGCGTCCTGACTCCCAGTACCCGTGATGGGACCTTATGTCAGAATGAGCTCTTGGCAGACGTGACCAAGATGAGGTGACAGTGGATTATGGTGAGCCCTCCAACTAATGACTGGTACCCTTATAAGAAGGGGAGAAGGGACGCAGACACAGTGAGAACGCATGGTAAGATGGAGGCAGAGACTGAGCAACGCATCTACAAGGTCAGGAAGGCCAAGGTCTGCAGGCAATACCAGCAGCTGAGACAAAGGCACGGAGCGGATTCCTCCTCCAAGCCTTTGGGGAACACAGCCTTGCTGGCACCCTGATGTGGGACTTCTGGCCTCCAGAACTGTGAGAGAATACACTTCTCTTTTAAGCCTCCCAGCTTGCGGGGCTTTGTTATGGCAGCCACAGGAGACTCGCACAGCCCCTTCAGGGACTTCACTGTCTGCTTTGGCCAGATGCCTCCCTCCAGAAGGAGCCAAGGGGACATCAGGCCCCAACACTAAGGGGGGCTGGGCTGCAGGTGGGCAGCATGAAGTCAGAACCAAGCTCCTGCAGGGTGCAGGGCAAGGAAGCTGCTAGACAACAAGCAAGGCCACCAGTTGCCATCTCCTCCCTACCAAAGAGGCATTCAAATCATCTCTTAACCAAAGTATATGAGTGCATTCCAAAGCTATGTGATCACACCAGGGCCTGAGTCCCTCCTAGCTCCCCCACAAGGCCTACCTGCAGCCCTTCCCCACAAAACCCTTGCTGACCACCCCAGCTGTGTAGATTTCTCCCATCTCTATTCCAGCTACACGCACGGTCTGGACCAGGCAATTTCGTACTTAACTGCATAGAGACACTGATACTGCTCTATTTGGTCTCTCCAGCTGGTACTTGTGTTCCTAGAGCAGCAGACTTCACCAATGTCTTCATTCTTCCTCCAAACATGCATTGAGCCCCTGCCACTTGACTGACAGACTAAGGCTGGGAAGGCCACACATGTCAGTGCAATGTCAGAAAGGAAATCTCAGCTAATGGGGTCAGAGTGCCCACCAGGCCTGGGCCCAGAGCTTGATGAGAGGTCACGGTCAGCTCACCTTCCTGTGGAGCATGCTGCCCACTTCCCTTCTGCAAAATTAGTTCCCCACTCACTGACACTGGGAACCTTGAGGATCTTGCCTGGCTCCACCATCCACGAAGCCTCTCAAAATGTCACCTGGCCCTGTGGGGCTGGAGAAGGTGCAAAGCATGAGCAAGGAGAATATGACTGTCCACAAAGATAGACAAAGCCCCTGGAGAAGAGATGAAAGAAAAGGATGCCGGAAACTGGAAGGTGAAAGAGCCCTGAGTGAGAGCAAGGCGGGCAGATCCAGCTTCTGGGAGAGGAAAGAGTATCTGTCTCATGACCATGCTCTATCACTCGCCGGCTGTGTGACCTTGGGCAAGCCTGTCATGTCTCTGAGCTGTGTTCCCAGTTATCATATGGGTGAGTCGTGCCTGCCTCTCTCCCCCCACAGGGCTATGTGAGACAGCTGGGGCACCAGAGGAGACATCACCTTATCTTCCTCCTCTATCCAGACATCTTGTCCACAGCTCTGTGCCTGCCAAGCACTGGCAAGTACAAACAGGGAACAGCTTTTCCTGGGTCTGGGAGAGAAGGAAAAATACCCATTCAACCTGCCAAGGTGGGTCTGTTTCCCACACAAGGCAGTGCGGGTGCTCTCCCTCACCACGAGGCTCCAGAGTCATCCCTTGGATCCCAGGTGAAAGACAGCTTCCCTACCCCACCATCAATCACTCTCCATGCCACTCTACGGACACAGTAGGAGGAACACCAGCTCCCAAAGCATATGCAAGGTTCCTTTGCCAGAGCCCTCTAACACCACAGCCTACTTCCTTTAAGCAGGCTCTCTGGCTCCATTCAGAGCACTGGGAGGAGAGGAGGTAAGCCCAGGCCCAGCAGCCATCAGAGGAGCAGGTGAAGGGAAGGGCCACAGCTCGGCCTTCTGTTCCTCCATCTCTTCATTCTTAGCGTCAAAGCGATCTTGGCAAGAGAGAGGGCCAAATGGGGCAGTTAGGAGGATGCTGCATCCAAGTCTCCAGAAGGCCTTTGATTGCTCAGATTCTCTCTGCCCCTCAAGACAGGCTGACATCCACGGCAGCCAGCTCCCTCTGTCAGCAACAAAGACCAAGTGGCGTCAATTTCCTTCAAGCTGGCGACACACTGGACTCCAACCACTGTGTGAAGCAGCCACATGAGCGCTCTCTGCCCAGCCCTGGGAGGCGCATTCTCCAAGGCAAATGTTATCCTTTTCATAGTGCACAGTGGCCAGCCAGCTGGGGCTCTCTGCGCCCTCCCCCGGCCTGATGCTGCTCCTCCCTGCAGACCCCATGAGGTCTTCTCTGGATTTCATTCTCACTGCTAGGAAGACTTCTCCTTGGCCCAGCCCCATCACTTTGCAAATTTCCACCTTTAAGAACCACCATAGGAAAGCAGGCATAAAAGAAAGCATGAGAAAAAGAGAGACAGACAGACAAAGAAAGGCACAGAGAACCAGCAAAAGAGCCAATGTGAACAAAGCCAAGTCCATCCCAGGGAGATCAAGTGAAGACTGCCAAATGAGCTCAGGGGCAGCAGGTGGCTCTGTCCGAAAAACACAAACCCTCTCTGGGCTGGTTTCATTAGCAGCTGTAGCCTATTCAATCACACGGAAGCAGCAGGAGAGGCACAGAGAGACACTTGACCCTCAATTTGAT